TAACCATTTTTGCCAATTCTTCACGATCTTTATTTGGATCGTAATATAAAATGCCACCGGTAACAGTGTTAATTCCCGGTTGAACTAGATTTGACCCGGTACTAGGGTTAACCTGAGTACCTACACTTGTCCCTCTTGCGCAGCTTTCATTTGTAAAAATCTAGCTTTATCTTTAGGGTGTGTCTTTATGTGTCTAGTCAAAGTACCCGTACCGCTACGGTCTCTAGTAATTTTATGAGCCATCAAAGTCCCACAAGTTTTACACTTAGCCTTATTTTGATTTTTTATTTGAGTAAAAAAGTGCCAAACAAGAGATGTTTCTTGCCGTTTAGAAGGTTGTCTATTAAAAGTAGGGGTTATTACAGGAGGGTCAGGCGGGGCATCATTTGGATTATTATCAGTTGGGTTAACAACGGGACTAGTAGGTGTATCATCTAAATCCGGTTGTGTTTTCCTCATCATTTTTATCGATAGTTGTATTATTATAAAGAGCATTCATATATTCATCATTTAATTGTTGATCTGGTGCAATATCATGGCAAAATTGACTATCGGTAAATTGAAAACAAGGGTTATCACTATCAAGAATAATAGATGGAGGAGGACGGGGTAATGGGTCTGGGTCGGGGAGCCGGGGGGGAGGGGGGAGTAGTAGCTTGGCCACTAGATTCACCAATTTTAGATTTTCCCTTACCACCAAATATTTTTTTCAAAGAAAAGGCCATATTAATTATAATTATACAAACTAAGACAAACAAAACTATAATATTAAAACTTAAGAGTTGGAACGAGTTTACCGAATTGACGAACAACTTCTTGAAAATTGTATATCGTTGAAGACTTGAAGACTTGAATACTTCAATTCACCAACTTCACAATTTTTTACAAATTCATAATGAATAAGTTTCTTTGAGACTTATTACAACACAATACCTTATTGGTAATTAATTGTGTTTCTCCAAAATAGTATAATTGGCTCTTGTAGAGTTCTCAATTAATTTTGTAGTACCACATATTCATCAACACCCATATGGTGAATATCTCTTTTAAAGAGAAAGTTATACCATTATGGTTATGGTCAAAATTGTATGCAAGATCTGTTTCTTGCATTACTGTTGTCTTTTAACAATCACAATGCCAAAATATTTTGGCGTACAATAGGTACGTGACCAATGACCATTCATGCCATAATAATGACATTATTTTCTTATATCATCTCAAACCTCCTTTTAGAGGTGAGTGCCGTATATTCACTACCACTAGCACGTTCATATTCTTTGAAGAATGAATATGTATTCATAAATCAGATGTTGTCACATTCACATCATGAATGGACCATAATCATCTATATGTGCTTTACAAAATCTCATGTCAAATCGATGACAAATATTTTTCACAGAGTGAAAGATTATTTTGAGAATCCTTATTGTTCTCATTACCACAAATGATGACGATTATAATTTCGTCTATTGCCACGTCCACATCCATTGATATATTCATAGTGATAATTTTGTCTTCTTTCAGACTTATCACATACTGCTATCACATTCTCTTAAGGGAATGAGAATAGAGCAAATTCAATGGGACGGGTTTCCACTTTTTGTGCCCATAATCATACATGAATTTGATCATGGCAAGACATAGAAATTTTACCACTTCAGGTGGTTATAATTTCTTACAAACTCCATTAGAGTTATAATCAAACTTTGTTGTCTTTGCTTGTATATAAAATCAAAGTATAGAATAAAAGAGAAAAATACGGTAAAATACTTACCTTAAATTCAGAATTTAATCATGAGAAGTTCATGATAATTGACAATGATATGTCTAATCCAAACGACTTCTACTCTNCAATCATTATGCTCAATCCCAAAGCTTCTACTCAATTGGTTAGAGTCTCGTGCTGATAACGTGTTATAAAATAATAAAAGAACAAGAGCAATATTGCAGAGAAAAGTAGAGAGAGAGAATTCTTATTGAATTTTGGGATGATTTACAATGGAATAGAACCCTCTATTTATAGGAAGAGGTTGACTTAGCCACCAAGTAATAAACCCTAGAATCTCTCTAAATATGGACATTCACCATAAATAGGATTCTATTTATAACAAAAAATCTTTATTCTTTCTTAAATTACATGCCTAATCAAATAAGTTCACACAAAAAGAACGGATAGAGTAATTCTTTTATTTCATTACGGAATAATAAAGATATTCTTTTCCTGAATTATCCATGAGCACAAACACATAAATCATAGAAGAGGGGAATATTCGAATCCCTTTGCGAGATAATTACACATTATATAAAATTAAAATTTATATATATATATATATATATATATATATATATATATATATATATATATA